TGCAAACAAGGTCCTACAAAGATACTAAGAGAATATAATGCATACTGACATAAAAATATGTTTAAAACGGGACACCTGCATGGTTTAGTCAGTTAAGTGTCTGCCTTTGGTTCAGGTCATGATCCCAGGGTCCTGAGATCCAGCCCCGCATCAGGCTCTCTGCTCAGCGGGGAGCCTGCTTCCCTCTCTCTCTCTGCCTGCCTCTCTGCCTACTTGTGATCTCCCTCTCTGTGTCATATAAATAAATAAAATCTTAAAAAAAGAAAAAAAGATGCAAAGAGAGATGTTCAAAAACAGGGAGTGTCATTTCAACTCCTATTTTCTCATGACCTCAGGAAAACAAGAGCAACTGGTGGTTATTCCATGAAGGGATTCCTGTTTTCCATTTGTTGTTTTTCCAAATGACATGAATACCAAAAAGTCATTATTATAAAACTAACACGTTCAGGTGATTTAAGGATGTGCTTAAGATGAAATCAGAAATAACCTAGAGTTGCGCCATATTGTCTGCTGAATGGTCCTCCTTGAACAACACTGCCTCTGGACAAATAAATACAGCCATAGATACCTAGAGAATGTCTGAGTTTTGTTCTGAGTGACCCAAGTGGGGCTCCAACATGAAGCTGGGGTTTTGAGCAATCCTCAGAGAGGATGACATAGGCTTGGTTTTGCCTCTTGGAAGATGGCACCAGGAGAGAAGAAGGGGACAATAATTCAAAGAGCCAAGAGATATCTTCATTTGAATTTCAACAAAATTTCTTATTTGATCTTTAATACCTATTTCCTTTAATTAACCTAAACATCACAATCTTTTTATTTAAAAAATTGCTTACTGAGCACTTGCATTGGCCAGGCATTTTCTTATGCCCTGTAGATTGCATTATTTTATAGTTTCCCCAAAGAAACAGGAGCCTAAAGAAACAAAAGCTTCATACATAAGGCACACAAGACAGTAAAATCAAAATCTGGAATATTTGCGTGAAGAAAGTTGAGAAAGAAACCTATGTCAATATAGGACAGATTTCTTTCTTTTGGATATGAGAAATTTTTCCCAGAATTAGGATTTAGTTTGAATTCTTTAAAGCTTTCTTCACATTTAATATAATTGAAATTGCCTATATTTAATTAATTAAATGTCACAATTCCAATATAATTATTTTATGAATAATTTTATTAGCTGTCTTCTCTTTTAATCACCATGCCACTTTTTATCTTTATCGATGACTATCTTAAAATGTTGAGCCACGGGCTTTACATGATTCCATAAAAATCCGGGTAAGAAATAAAATATTTTAATATTCAAATGAGTTCTTTATGACAAAATATTTCCTAAATAATTTCCTCTTAACCTAATTATTCTTAACCTTAACTTAACCTAATTTTATTCTCATGATATAGAGTACAGAAATGTCTGGGGTTGCTTTCTGGCCTTCTGATGATGTCTGCTCTTAGCTGCCAGCAACGAGACACCCTTTTTCAAATTATGTAATAATTCTCCAATATACCTAGATTTGAAAATGTATAGCCTTTGGAAGATTAGCAAACCATGCAGGGGCTTTACTGAAAAACTATACCATCTTAATTTTTTGTTGTTTTTTAATTGAAATATAAGACATTATAGGTGATGTGAGAAATATAGAGAAAATCTATCTAAAATGTTAACACTTTCATTTGTGAATTATAAGCATAAGTCTGTTGGTCTTCAAATAATTTTAGTAATAGAATACTTAATCATATAGATTGTTCTTTTTAACTTAACATATTATCAGAAACATTTTGATATAAAAAAAGATGCATTCATATCTCATATGGTAAGTCTGTAATTTTGGAGGCAAACTGTTTCTTATTCCAATGTGTTATTTGCCTGGTTAGCTCAGATGATTGGACCATGGGCCAAAACTGATGAAGGTTATAGTTTCAATTTCTAGGTAGGTCAGTTAGCTTTACTCTGTTTCATGGCCACATGAAGGGACTAAATGACTTAGAAAGAAAATGTGGACATAATAGCCTGAATTTATCCCCTGTGCTGGAAAAAGTACCCATAGTACAAGACCTAGGTTTGTGCCAATCTGGAAGTCATTAGCGTCAGGACGGAAAAAACAACAACAAAAAATAAAGCAAGAGAAGAAAAACCCTGACCCCCCCCCCCCAAACACAAAAACTGAATGCTATATAGCTTTCATTTCCATAATATAACATAAAGACCTGCCTTTTCTTTTTATAGTTAGAGTCAAGGGGCTCCAGCTGATCACCTGCCTAAAATTATTGCAAGCCTGGTGGGAAGCATTCAAGGAGGCATAGTCATGTTTTCATTTCACTAGGAAATCATTTAGCAAATTACTGCTGTCCTGTAAATTGCTGTGCTGCGTAACTTTCATACTGAGAAACTATTTCCCTTTTTCCATAAAAATTGCAGAGAAAAGGTTCCTATAATAAATAAACCGTATTTAAAACAAACCAATTCCCAGAATTTTGGGACGGTGATAGAGCACTTCTCAGGTGAAAATAAAAACAAATACATTTTATTACCAATATTTGAAAACTATATATTCTCTGTTAAAGTCAGATTTTCATTTATTGTTTGTTTACTTTGTTACCCTTTGAGGGGAATGGAGAGAGGCTTCTGAAGACAAAATAACAAGCTAAGTACTTATTTTTGGAAAGAAAAAGAACTAAGTTTGGAAATCAGAGCTCTTTAAGCCCAAATCTTATATCTTGAAGAGAGTCCCACAATCAGTAATCAGCCTAAATAGAACACGGTATTGGGAGCAATTTTTACTATGCCAAGTTCTGTCTAAAATGTCGGTCTGAAGGGAAATAACTTAGTTCTTTTAATTTTGTGTCGAGGTGATAGGCCCAAATATAATCTGGAGAAAGATGGCCTAGGATCACATTCCAAGTATGGTAAACCCTGCTGATGTAGCAGTAAGCATTACAAAAGGACTAATTTCTCTGGCCTTTTCCAGAAGCACTTGGATAATGAAACACAGAGCTGGTTCTTCCACTTCAGTGGCAAGAAGACGGAAAAGCAGAGTCAGGGGAGAAATCTTTCCTTCAGAGAAAGAGGTCCCATTTCAGTGCTGTCTTTTTGTAAGAAAGCTTTGGAAACAAAATTGAATGACTGATATTCACAAACACTAATGGATATTAAGAAGTTTCACTCTAAACTTAAAGGTTGCTAAGACTAATAAAGAGAAAATGCTTCATGGTGGCTAAAATTTTTAAACAGTCACATTCGATGCATAGTAAAAGTAAAGGTCCTGATATCTAGAACTTGTTATAACATCACTGGACTTAAATAACTGATACTTGAGTCCACAGTTTAAAAATGTTGTGCAAACAGGGAGAAGATTCAGAAGAATGGCCTAAGCGTGGTTTTATTGTTGCAAATTAAAGCTTTGAGGAAAAGAGTAAAAGAACTGTTATGATTCAGTTTGAAGATGAGTCGACGAAAATGATCTTTATCATTTTTTCCCAATCTTTCTCAACCTGTGTTCCTCATCTAAACCACAGAGTACAAAAACTAATGTGACTCTTTTCTCAGTTCTTCTGTGGATGGTACATAAAAGAGTACCATTCTAGATCCATTGAGGAGATGTGAATTCATTACATACAAGGCTGCCTTCGGGCACCACGACTCAATTCTCTCTTGTAAAGGATGTTGATAACAATTGGATACACAGTAGAACATAATGTTGGCAAGATATCTGAAGCCTAGAAAATGCACTTAAAGAAGCGGGTTATCTGTAGACAAGATAAAGGGTGGATTTCCTAAAGCTAAATGACTTAGCATTTTACTTTTATAGAGTCTGTTGAGGAAAATTACAGTTTCCTTCTTCCAGGATTTTGGAGCTGGGATTTATTTTCTTCTCACCAGAATAGGATGAAGTGCGTAGTCTCTGAAGGCGGAGGTCTTGTCCCGCCCTGCAATGGGTGCGTTTGGTTCTTCCCAAGTGGAGTTATTCAAATGTCTAACATGGAGAAACTCTGAGGGTAGAAGGGGTAAGAACTAGGTATGCTGATAGGGCTGATGGGTAGTGGCCTGAGATACATCTCCTCCCCAAGGAACCCATCTCATGATGCGGGGAAGGACACATTTACCCGTTTCAGGGAAGTCAAGGAAAGAAACTTGACGTTGACCAAGAGAACTCTGACGGTAAAGGCTTCTTGAGAAGATTAGAACTTCATAGTCCTGCCTAGGTTCTTCAAAATATCTTTCGTGACATCTCTAGTATTAATTTTTTTTTCAAAGAAAATGTCTGTTGAATCTAGACTACTGACTTGATAACACAGTTACCAATCTGAATATAAATAATTGTTCTTCAGAATTATAAAGATGTAGAAGACAAACTAAATAAGGCAGAGTCAACGAAAATGGTGGTGTCTTACTATCTAAAAGCAACCTGGTTTCTATGTTGATTTTTCTGGTGAACGCAGACATGGGAAAATTCCAAATACTTTTTAAGGTTTTTTTTAGTTAAATTCCAAGTAATTGAAGTCCTACTATCTGTTGTTGCCCAGAGAGATATTTTATTCATGACTCCACGTTATCATGATTCTAGAACTGTCCACAAAGATCACTATTGAGTTGGATTATACATTTAAACTACAAATGACTTTTTCTAATGTTACTTTAAGGAGTATTTGGACAAGGCATCAGTCAAACTGTGGATACAATCTGCTTTCTCTGGCAACTTATCATTAATGTAAAATGAGAGTCCATATTGATCTTCGCTTATGTAAGCAGTTCACATGAATTCCATGAAACTGCAAGTGAGCAGAAAAAAAAAAAAGGCAAACTTTGTCTTCTAGGAAAGCAGGGCTTGAATATTTGAGTGCAAATATCTCTTTTATAATAAACAAATATATTGTTTACTCACGGAAGTTTCAAATGTAATGAAGTCAAGGTTGGTACAGTTAAAATAGCTCAAAGACGAATGAGTACATGAATAAAACTTGTTTTGCCTTCTCCTAAATGCTGCCCTCTTTTCCATTTACAGCTATTCAAGAGCAAGAAGATGAATCTGTGCCCCTATCCTTAAGCCCAGACAACTCCTTAAATAAGTCACAGTTAGACGACTGCCCAAGGGACTCTGGTTGTTATATCTCATCAGAAAATTCAGATAATGGCAAAGAAGATCTGGAGTCTGAAAATCTCTCTGACATGGTACGGAAGATTACTATCACAGAGCCAAGTGACTGAACACACATTCTCAACTATATATGTACAAATGCATTCCATTTTAACTCTACTTGAACTAAAAGATCAAATAAATGGGAGAGAAAGAAAACATTTGGCAATACAACCTAAAGAGAAAGTGTTTTAATCTGAATGATTTTATATAAAAGTTCATGTCTCTAACATTCCCAATTATTGTAAATAGTATGTATATTTATTATTTTAAATGCTACATGTTAATATTTCACTTGCCTATATTAGAAAAGGCATAGTATAAGTCTTTGATATGTGTGACATAAGCTATATTCAGCTTTGTTTAAGTGTGAAATGATAAATTCTGCAGGAAAAAAACTCCTCTTTTTTTCATACCTGTTGGTTTTGCATTTGTGTCTATTATTCAATAAATAGTAATGAACCATTTGTCTGTTTAACCAACTGTCCAAGCAGCATTCACACTCATTTTTATACTTAATGGGAAAGCGTGAGTTAATACTGGAGACATTTTATCCTGATCCACAGTGGAGTTTTAGAAATTATTTTTTGCTAATTTCTTCACTGTTATCTGGTATAAAAGTAGAGATAACAAGATATTGTTGACTCTCGTTGAGTAAAATGAATTTTAATAATTGTACAGATGTTTCATCTTTAATTGTAAATATTTTTAATTGTGAAATACCTTAATTTTAAATAATAAAAATAACTATGTGCATTTGCTATTTTCCAGACTACTAGTACTTAAATGTATTTTTATATTAGACCTCTAGACAAAATATCTATTACCAGAAGTTTTATAGTCTGTCTGATATACAGCATATATATGTGTATACGTATATACACACATATATATATGATTCCCAAATGAATTACCTCACTTCCATCTGTCTCCTGAACCCCAGGTCTGTGTTATCCGACTTCCTGAACACTTCTATGTATTAGTCAGCTCAGTCTGCCATAATAAAATATCATAGACTGGGTGGCTTAAACAACAGAAACTTATTTTGTTAGAATTCTGAAGTCCAAAAGTTCAGGATCATGTTGCAGCATGGCTGGATTCTAATGAGAGTTCTTCCTGGCTCACAGACAGCTGCCTTCTCACCATATCCTCACACGTCAGAGATAGCAAGCTTTCCGGTGATTTTTCTTAGAACGGCACTGATCCAATCACGAAGGCCCCACCTTCACATCCTCATTTAAGCCTAATTATCTCCCCAAAACACCATCTACAAATACCATATATGGGGGGCTAATGCTTCAACATTCTAATTTGTGGGGAAAGGAGTCCAACATAGGACTCTAGAAGCTTCAGATCAACATAGCCAAATCTCTGACTTTTCTCTACAAATTTGTCTCTGCTTTTTTATTCCAAACAAAGCTCTTTCTTTAATGATGCCAATACCCAACCAGTTACCCCAAACAGAAAATCATTTCTCATATCATCTCATATATACCCTTCTCATAGATTCAATTCTCACAGATTCAGTATGTAATCAAGTCCTACCTCTAGAAGTGCTTTGCCATTCATGACTTTCTAACCCTTCCTATGGTTGCTGTCTTGCTTTGGAACCTCATGAGCTCATTTATGAAATAGTGCAATAGCTTTCCAACTGACCCCTATTCTACCAGTGCCCTACCTTTTAATCCATCCTCCACCCAGCCTCCAGAAAGGTCCAACATGTAAATCAAATCATGACTTCCAGCTTCAAGTTGTTTTTTGTTTTGTTTTGTTTTATAGCTCCTCACTCTCTTCAGTATAATTTTTGAACTTTTTTCCAGGGTATATAAGGTTCTTCTCAACCACTTTTGACCTACCCTATGAATCATATCTTTCCTCCCCCTCCTCTTACTCTACACTCTCTATAATCTACTTGCAATTCCACAAATTCACAATTTCTTTTGGGACTTCTCTTATGCTATTTATTTTCCTGGAGTGGTTCCTATTTTTTTTACATCCAAGAGTCTCCCTTTGTTTTCTGTTTTAAGATTCATCACAAAAGTCACTTACTCTGTGAAGCCTTCCATGATTTCCTTTGGTTTTCTCCTCTGGGTTTCCTTAGCAACTTGTATTTCTGTTGGTCATAGCACTTTATTATACTTTATCTATTTCAGAGGCACTTATCTTTCCACAAGACCACGATCTCCTTGTGACAGCTTTGTAATCTGGTGCCTGGTATTAGACCTGTACAGAGTGGGCATTTAGGAAGCATTTGCTGGAGGGCAACGAATATAATAATTATTCCCATATAATGGATTCTGTATTTATATCTAAATCAATGTACTTAGTCTATAGGTAAATACCTTCCAAAGTGATCTAAACATTTCTTTAATAAATAAAACACAATACCTTAGGAAAAATCAGGAAACACAAAGTATTATTTCGAATGCTGGGAGACATTATTACACTGTTAATTTCTAGTATATTTTTCCAGATCCATGAGATTTACTCCCAAATGCAGTGCCCAGGTCAGGAGTAAATCACATGCCTACGCCTATCCTTCCCCTCCACAGCAGGAAATAGTGTTTCAATTTCAAATTTCCAACATGCTGCCTCCATCCTGGTCCTGCTCCTGACTATGGCTACAACTCTAAATAGATTATTCTAGGACACAGCACAGCCTCTGACCATAATTTTTAAACTTTAATCAACCTGCTGCCTCAGGGAATTCTAGAGCGTACGGCTTCTTTATGAGGACAGCAAGAAATTTGTAGGTTAGGAAGCATGTGAGGAACTGTTTGATTGTAAAATGGTAGAAATCACTGGTGAAGCTTACCCAGCCACAGTTTCTTTTCCTTCAAAATAAAGATCTGGTACCCAGTTCGAGGATTTAGGGAAATGCTTTTGAGTAGAAGTGCTGCAAAGGCCTTGAGGAGGCTGAGGAAGAGGAAGAGAGACTGGATTCCTACAAAGAAAGAAGGAGAGAGAAGTGGAAACACCATGAGGTTCAAGTTGCCAAAAGGACGGCCCCATCACATAGCACAGTGCTGAAAAGGACACCTGTAGCAAAAGCATATCTCACACTAAAGGAACCCTGCGGCCCTTGATTTTACCTGTTGGATCCCTGCTGCTCGCTTTCCTTGGGTTTTTCTCTCGACCATGCAAGCTGGATAAAGAGAAGTAAAAAGGCTAGACGTAGTTCAGCCAAGGTTGTAAGGTAGTTGAAAGACTTAGACTTTTGGCTGCTTTTGACTAGGAGACAGACAGGAGTCTTAGCCTTTCAAGAGTGGATGGGAAGGTGGTTAGAAAGTGACATTTTCATGGCTCCCAGATGGCTTTGTGTTTCCAGGTTGAAATGTGGTGAGAGTCCTGGTCTCAATCATTTCTTTATTCACACAACAATTCTGAGACATGGAACGCATATGCTGCCCAAGACTATGCCAATGAAAGCCTCTGGATCATAGAATCTGCACGAAGATCTTGCCACAGCCTGTCACTGAATAAGCTGTCTCTCGGTACAGAAAGATTGTAAAACTGTCCTGGGATGCCGTGATTGCTCTGATCCCAAGAACATCTTATGTTTACAAATTCAAGTGTGTGGTGAAAGTATGCCTAGTTAGAGAAATTTTAATCCAGATAAATGGATAAAATCTCCATAATACGTTTTTTGTTAAGAACAAAAATGAACTCTTTTAAATTCTGCCCCCCTTGATTCTATTGCCGATACAAGTACCAATATATTTTCACTCTGAAATTTGTTATCAGAAGCTTTTCTTTTTTATCAATTAAATTTCCAAGATAGTTAATAAAATAACTCTTAAAACTTCTAAAATGATAGTCAGCTCAAGATTATCAGGTTTTAGACAACATCTAATTCACTGAGGTTAGTCAAGCGCCCTGCAACTTCCTGAGTGAGGCCAAATTGATGACATGCTGACATTTCATGTTGAGAAACTTCCGTTACAAGCCTAAGTTCTGAGAAAAATAATATGAAGAAATTGTAGATACTCTGTCACACCACACACGCACACTCTTCCATCCCCTCCACACCATCAAAGAAAACCGTTCGACTAATCAGGACGCACAGGATGTCATGCTAGAATTATGTAAAGGTTGAGACAAAAATGAATAGGAACTAAATATAGGTAAAAGAACAGCAGTTTCTAAAATATGACCAGGTTTCCTGGTTACCGAAATAAGATAAAAGGAACCCTTACTTTAGGCTACCCCCTATCCTACCACTGAATTCATCTGATCACATCCAACGTTGACCTAGAGGTCTGGTTTGAGCACTGTGCGACTTTGTGTAAGTCACGTAGCCTCTGAGCTTAGGTTTTTTGGGTTTTCTTATCCTCTATGAAATATAATACTAACATTTCATATTTCTGTGCTGCTTAAATGAGATAATGTACACAAAACATTCAGCACAGTGCATGTCACGTGAATAAAAACTGATATCTGAACACAAAATGAAAGCAGTGCACATGTTACCATAATACAGGCCTGGGCGTGTAGTGATTTGAAATTCTTCAGACACCGATTGTCTGAGGGCTAGGATAACCGTGTTGTGCCACAGCAGTGAGAATCAGCGGATTTAACAGAACCTCACAGATAATGACCATTTTGTCAGGACAGAATATTTCTTTGTCGGGTTCTGATAGATTAGAAAGAGGCCATGTTGTATTTAGTTTTGATTCCTCACACTTGAGGTTATATAATAATAATATAAAAATAATCATTTTTTTAAAGATTTTATTTATTTATTTGACAGACAGAGATCACAAGTAGGCAGAAAGGCAGGCAGAGGGAGAGGGGGAAGCAGGCTTCCTGCGAGCAGAGAGCCTGATGTGGGGCTCGATCCCAGGACTCTGAGATCATGACCTGAGCTGAAGGCAGAGGCTTTAACCTACTGAGCCACCCAGGCACCCCAGGAATAATCGTTTTTAAAGACCAAACAATTTGAGTATATAAATAACTGCTTATATTCATGAATAAAATTAAATCAATAAAAGATGTGAGGTTATTACTCCTAATACTGCACCTTGGGCCCTCCCTGGTCTTTACAATATGGAGTCGCAGCTCATTGTGCTGTAGCCCACACAGAAGGACATTGTGCTGTGCCCTTAGAAGGACACCCTAAATGTAGATTTTTACATATTTACAAAGTTAATGGCACTTAGGCAAATGATCTGCCGTGGGAAAATCACAGTGCAGAGGAAAATACAAGCTTTTCATCAGTCTCCCTTTCTTTCTTCATCATGCAAGCGTCTCACATTTGAATCACCAACAGTCTGAGTATTAGTGCATCTGTGTGAGGTCTATCATAAATTAAGAAGCCATGATGGAAAAAATCTTTTAAATGGCATTACTGTGTTCAGAGATCTCCTTTGACCTCCTGGGATCCCTGGTGGGCCTGAAATGCAGGGCACTGTTCCCTCAGAGGGACGGAGTGGAATCCTGATGCAGAAGGCGAACGGGATTGTTTTCC